CCCCCCCCCCCCCCCCCCCCCCCCCCCCCCCCCCCCCCCCCCAGGAGAAATATTTAGATTTTTTCAACGTACGTTTAAAATTAACGTATCTTCCGGGATCGTAATTGATGTTTAAATTTAAAAAATCTTGATTCCATCGAGGAGCACAAACCAAATCGCCTCGATCGAGCCACGAGATACCAGGCCTGGGCTGAGGTTATTTTAAAAACAAAATGGAACATATCTTGGATGATAAAAATGGCAATTTTTCATTGTAAAAATAATTTAGGAAACGTAACTTTGTTTTCTGCAACTTTTGTTAATTATTTTATAATTTTTAAAAGCGACTTAGCAAACGTAATTTTGTTTCATTTATTCGAATGATGCCCAGGTCTGCCTTGAAACGCAACATACAAACGGAATTTAGTTTTAATTAATCCTGCGATCGTGCTGTACGTACTATCGTTGAGAGATGGGTCAAATTTTTAGTTAGATCAAAATATCGAATGACGAATAAAAGATGAAGAACTTATAGAAGATATTCTACAATGAACAAACGAGAATCGAATAAATTACTATGCACTTGTTTCATTTATTATCTATTATCCAATTAAAATTTCGCCCATCTCTGCCATTGTTGCTTTATTTCTTTTACTTTCTCAACATTGATGCGGTTCAAATTATTTGTCTTCGTTGACGACAACGAGTGAACGTGTACTTTTTTCGTGCGCCCGTAATCTATCTCCGGTATCGTGGAATATTTTTTATCGCTCGGAGATAATTTGCCCGAAAATTAATCGAAATTAGATAATCATGCACGAGCCAACCTCGATGGGGGGCCGGGAAAGGGTTAATCGTGTCGTTGCGTTCGCGCGTGTAATAATTTTTTAAAGGTGTACACATGGATTCTGTGATATGCGTTAGGTAATTGAACGTGCGGCACTTTATTGCATTATCAACAAACGAGTATTAGTATTTTATTTCGATAAAACGACAATGCATCTCGCACGCCTTCGACAGAAGAATGATTTGCGTAGATTAGGGTAGGATCAGGTTGGGACCATTTGTTCTATGTTCTTTTTGAACAAATTACAACAGGGACAAATGTTACAAAAATCAGCTACCAGGATTTATTGAGGCAACATTTTGAAACTTTGCACTTATATGTAGTTGTTTCACACTGAATTCGATTTTTTAAACAATTTCTTTCTACACCATCGAATTCAGCGTGGAAGAACTACATAAAAGTACGAAGTACTTGTAAAATTTTGCCTCAATAACTATAGGTAGCTGATTTTTGTGACGCCCTCCCTTAACCAGCTTCCGTTCGCAGCCACTACGTTTACAGTCACAGAAAATGTTGTTTCGAGTGCATAAGAATATTTGAATGTTTATTCGAATAGTCCCAGCCCTAGTGTAGATCACACATTTTACGTTTTCCTATTGAATAAACAAGAAAACTAGCAGAGAGCAGATAGAGTTGCGTGTTCTGTTAAACGGGCCAAGACGGAAAACAAAATGGGGGAAGTAAAGTAGATGAACCGCGAAACTCTCGAATTCAGCTGAACCCCTCAGTCTCGCCAATATATGTTTTTTGTTTTGTTAATAAGTTTGTAATTTTTGTACTTAATTAATTTATACGCTATTTATGTACATGTGTAATCGACGTTTAGCGAAGCTAGACGGGCCTTCCATAATTTTAATAGACGTACTCTCATTTCGCGAACTTGCGTTGACGTCCGCCGCTCTAAAGAAAATGAAAGTTTCTAAAAGAAAGCGGAAAGAAGAAGGAGAGATGGGAAATCTCGATAGGGAATGAATCGATCGACTCGAGAAATTTCAATTCTTCGACTCTTCGGAGGGAAAATTGGGGGGGGAATGAAGAGAAACGTGATTTTATTTTGGGTTACGTTACAGTATACATATCAGAATGGAGAACAGGAAGGAAACGACGCGGTGTCGCCTTTCTTTCTACTGCGATCTTGGTATATATAAAAAGATTATATATATTATATATAAAGATATATACAGTTTAAAGAACTTAACGTTTTCACCCCTAAAGTATACGTCGTTTTTTTTTTCAAGATACAAAAAACTGTCAGAAAAAGAAATTGTTTATTTAGGAGGGATAGATTATTCATTTCGTGACTTCATATTTGTGTATTTGGTTTTGGAATTGATGTTACGACGAATTGGATGTGTACTGACACCTATACAAAACACTATTTTGCGTGTGACAACCATGACAAAATATTTATTAAAGATTATTCGAACTTCAAATTGCTACAGAATGCTAAAAATTCACTTCGATATTGTTTAAAACACTCTACACAAAAATATGATCTTGAAACAATTTCCCCCTCTTAACCAATCGATATCTTCTGATTTTATTTTGTATCGTTTAAAGAAATGAAGTTTTTTGCGATGACAGCGATAGGTGCTTCAGCCTGTATATTGTATTATTTACTACTAGGAACGTTTAAATCTTACGGATAGTATGGTAATGATTTCTAAGGCTATCAACGACGTCTTTTTCCTTCGGATCCACGCGTCTTTTGACCTTTGAGCTGCGATTATTCTGTACTTTACCTACTTCGTGTCGTTGTAGTGTTATACAATATACGAAACTATTTTGCTATGATTATTTGTAAACATCCAGTCCGCTGATCGGCTTTGCGATAGACGTGTCGACATTTGTTACCGACGTGGTTCTTTCAAAAGTACATTTAGAATCGCAGATATCTCTCAAATTATAAATAATAGTAAAATATTTTAACACTTCTAAAGGACATTGAAAAATTGGCGTTGCAATAGTGACAATAAATTACTACTATACATATCTATTATACAAATACTATACATATCGATCTCTGTAATTAATTAGAGCTCTTGCTGTTAAGTCTCTCATTCATATCGATACAATGAGCGAAACCAGTTTCCTTTTAAATAAAGAGTTCGTAGGATACGAGATGAATACAGCGTCAGTAACAAGTGTCGACAATCCACATTGTAAATTCACATCTTCAATCGTAACAGCTTGAAACTACGTTTCTTTGCAATATCGTATGAAGATCTACTATTATAAGTAATTGAGTCTAGTCCATACATAAAGCGAATTAACGATATCCACTATGCTTAAATTGTAACAATGTTCTCACTAGCAACTCACCCCTGCCGACAATCTTGCTTGGTAAATTAATTACCCCTCCATTGTACACATTTATCTATAAATATGTCCACGCGAGTAATCGCAACTCTCGAATCGTTTGTCGACCCTTAAACCACATAGGATTGCATTCAAAGTTCCTCTTCGAAATTTTACCAATGGAGCAATAACTTTATTATAAAAAAAAAGTCCTTGTAAAGATTGCTCTTGTATATTTGAAATGACTTTCTATTCGAAGGAATACTTTCAATTACTTCTTTATCGTTACTAAACGAATATTTAAAAGGATTAAGAATAGAAAAGAAGGATCCTATGGTTTAAGGGTAAACATTAACTGTTCTTTGAACGATCACATCGGTGAGAATATTTTGACAGTTTAAGCATACATGTATATTTACTGTATATTTAAAATAAGGTATCTTCTAACGAGCATAGATAAGATTAGTCAATATAGACTCCCCATAGCTACCCACATAGATCAAAATACGTACCTTATTTTATAGTAACCGGTATCTGCAGACGATATGTAATTTAATCGTGACCCTGTCAGGCTAGATCATTAAAGTGAGACTTTTATCATTACGCATTTTCTATTTTACATTGAAGACAATGAGCATTTATCGATAACAAACATCACTGAGTGCCTGCTTCAATTTAAACGACTATCAGACTCGAGACCAATCTTCGTTGATTTCTTACGAATGTAACAATAAGTGAGAAGACACTATTACACGTATCCAACATAGACAAGAATTGAGACAAATATGAGATCGAAATGTATCAAATAGTGATACTTTCTTTACTTGATGGGTTTTGAGGAAACCTGTGCGCAAGGGTATATTGAATGTTTAATTGAATTTAGTTCGTAATTATTCTTAATTCTTTCACTGACAAGTACTGGCAGTTATACACATTACTGTCAAATTCAAGTAAAGATAGAACACCAAATTGACAAGTACATCATTTTCAGTACACTTTTACTGTCTCTAGACACTATTACACGTTGAAAGATAGTTTCGCACGATTTCGATCATTTTTCGTTGTAATCCAAAGTGATATACGTATAAGTTAAGGTCATTTGGTAGCGATTATTAGCGATGATTTTGAGATTCCTTGCAAAACCACAATTCTTGATGACTAGGGGGGGGGGAGACTTAAATTACAAGAAAACAATCCCATTACATTTAAAAATTTTGTATTAGAGGTTTATTGTTTTTTTTTTTTCATTACAAGCATGAAATTAGGAACTAAGAAATTTGTCTAACTTATTAAGTATTTTTGTCGAAAATTGTTAAGTAGAAATAGAAATTATTTATTTTAATTTATTAACTATTACAAATGTAATACAAAACTAGTCAGATTTGTTTCTGGATAACTTACATTTATTAAAATAAAAAACAATCTTAACCAGGAATGAAAACAGCTTTGGTCAGTGAAAGATGATTAAGAATAGAAATAATAAAAATTAAAAAAAAAAAAAAATGTATCTACAGAAAAGAAGAATATTAATATAAAAGAAATGTGTCGCTACAAAATTAATATTATTAACAAATATTGCTAAAGTGGTACATCTACTGCTAAAGACTCAAAAACTCCTCAAGTAAAGATTAAACAAATACTTTAACGTTGCTCAAGTTAAGAGACAAAATCTACAACCATTTTGCAGATACCTGTACCCAATTGTTCGTAAACTTGATTCAACATTTGCGTTATTATTTTTCTCGCAATCTCGTCCTCTGACTCCGCATGAGAAAAAAAACCAATGCGTTGCATTCTGTTCTGCAGATGTTCTTTTATATATCCAAATGTATGAAAGTGAACGTTAACAATATCATGCCAAACCAAACTTTGACTCTCGATCACTCCATCCACTTATCTCCGATATATTCTATAGAATCTAATTACTATTAACACTACTACTAAAGCTAAGCTCTACAAATGAAATTTTAAAACTGTATCAAATGTTTATATGACATAAATTATGATAATGCAATAGAACGAATGTATTTTGTTGCCTAGTTCTCAATATATATTAAAATGGAAAAAAAAATCATAAAACTCGAAGAACATGTAAACCATCCGCTTTCAAACAAATCGAAGGCTTACCTTTGCAAAAAATGATTATACAAGGTGGATATGTTTCACTCTATCACGTTTGGGTATGGTTCGTTTTCTTTTTTTTTTTTTTTTTTTATTTATTTCAATCAAAAATGACTCATTACACTTATCATAGTGGTATGTAAGTAGGGTCCGTACTTTCAATACATTGAAATCATCGCTTTAATGTATTTGAACGTACTTTCAATTATGTAAACTGTAACTGAATCATTAGATCAATGTCTGCGTGTACGTGCTACGGATGGCATCTGGGTTGTAATAATTTCGTTACTATTCATTCGATAGGGCGATAATGGATACATAAGGAACAAACGAAAAATAATTCTCGCGATTCTAACGGAATAGTAAAACAAGAATAAACTATACACTCAAATCAGGTATCTTCGAATGTCTAATAATATAAAACACGTTTGGACTTAGTCAATTTCGCTTAATGGTTATGTAGCTTTTCGATTGTTACATCGTGTTACCTCCTCCTTCACTGATAAGAGAGGCCAGCAAAATTAAAAAAATAAAGGAAAACATTTTTTAAACGATCGTTATGAGCTTGAATAAGAGGTTATACAAAACTTATGGGTAGTATACAAAGCATGGAATTTAATTAATCACAAGTCAAACTCAATCGAAATTGTCTCTGATTTAAAAAATTGTACATAGATCTCAGGTGATATACGGTTATCGTCATCCTGTGCATAAGTACGCTTCACGAACTTGGGCAACTTTACAAAGTAACCCCTTCCCCCCCGGCCCCTATCGTAACATCATCGGACACCGGCCAAGCAATTTCCATCGTTACTTTTGCTGTCAATGTCAACAAGTTGGAATATTTATTTAAAAGTTACACAAGAAAGGGTACACGATGCAACAATAGTCATGCTTCCGAGGATTCAGCAAGTCTGTTTGCCGCAAATAAATCGCCGTTCGCTACAAGTCACTGTTGCGAAAAATGTAGACTCATAACCTCTCGTATAAAACGAATCCTATTGTTATAAAATAATAAGAATACCAAAGAAGGAAACCAATCAGAATGATAAACGAAAGAGGTTCGGCGACGTGTTCCTGATTATTTCAAAAAAGAAAAGGAAGAAGGGGTAGGTTTATTCGATATAGCACTACAGAGGTAAAAAGTCTGATGTTCTTTTGATATAATTACAAAACTGGCTGGACATTATTATTATTACAAGTTAACGTGCCTAATGAATTAGACAGAAGTCATCTAATCGATTCGATATTGTTAACGCGCGCATGGAAAAATTTTAATGGACAATCACAATGAAAAACTTTGCTTCCGATGTGTCTATATATATATATATATATATAATATATATTTATATATCTATGGAGAACAAAAAAGTATCTCTCGTTACTTCTCTCTCCTTTGTTTTTCTGTATGCACGAATATTTCGAAAAAGTTATTAATATGAATATTTATATACAACCTTGGCTAGAAGTTGGTCAGGTTCAATTCCTGTACCGATGGGAGGACGATTTCTTACCATCCCGGTGATTCGGCTGCCTTGATCTCGATCGTGATTTCCTATGATCCCTAGATCTAGATCGACTCCTCCTCTTGCTCCTGGAAACGTAAGATTCAGAACGCTTGCGGTCCTTGGAACGTGAGCGAGTTCTGTCTCTGCCCTTGGATCGTGATCGTGTCCTTCGTTTATCCCTGGCGCGAGATTTACTGCGTCTGACAGAGTAGGACCTACTGCGTCTTCTGCTCCTCGAATGAGAACGGGACTTCCTCTTCCCCCGGGAACGCGAGCGTGACCATTTCCTCGCGGCCGAGACGGATCTAGATCTACGGCAGCTCCTCGAGCGGGATCTGCGCCGTTTTCGGTTTCTCGATCGCGATCTATGCTTCTTCCCGGACCTATAATTGCTCGAAGACCTTGAACGATACTCTTTACGTGAAGACTTTATCGATCTGGACCTGGATTTGCGTCTGCGACCACGCTCGGATGAACGGGATCGAGACTTCCTGCCTCTCGATTTACTCCTACTCTTCGACTTCCTCTTTCGATAATCACGTTCACGGACTTTGCTCGATCTCTTCTTCTTCGCCGAGGTGCGACTCGAGTCAGAGCTCGTCGACTCGGAACTGCTAGATTCGGAATCGGCTGATCCCGATGGAGTATCGGTCTTTGCTGTATCAGGCGGCACGCTTTGTTGCTGTGGACTTTGTCCGCCGCTCGATAAAGTTTCAGACGCTTCTCTTTGATTATTTACCGTTTCTTTTTCATCAACTAAAGTAGTGATGTTACGGAGTTACGCTTAATGATGCAATACAATGCCTTAGGTTTTATTTCATTTCGAAACATACCTGTGTCCTTGCAGCTTGTATTACCAGTATGATTTTCCTGTTGTTTATTATAATGCTCCTCGTAACGTTGCTCATCCCTCTCATCCTCCTCCGCTAGACGCGCCTCGATTTCCTCCTCCGTCTTTTTGAACGCTTGTTGCCGCCGTCTCAACGTTTCCTGAAACAATACGTTAGGGGTGTGTTTTATGTGTCACCGTCTTTTCGTTGATAGGACGGGGATCCACAGGAGGAGAGTGGTTTGTTAACCACTCCCCTGAGGATGTTTCTCGAATCTCATCTTTCACTTTGCACTCTCTACTATTGTACGTCACGTCGTTACGGATTATAAGGGCGTTAAATAAAATAAAATAAAATAAAGCGTATTCGTTATGGATTCAAAGCAACATACTATCAGCTCCTCGTCGCTGTCGTTGTTTTGAGCCTGGACGTGTTCGCTCTGCTCCTCCTCAGACTCGCTGTTGCTGTCGCCATAGATGCCCAGACCTATACGAAACGAATAGTTTATTACGCTTGCTCACGGCACGTCATTCTTCTTCACGTTCAAAGTAAAGACATACGCTCGAGCACTAAATATGCTGCTGCTATGATTGAAAAATGTCCTGAAAGACATCTTCGTTTCATGATAGACTTATAAGCGAGCATGGCTACTGAGAGCGGTTAATGCACGAATGCATTTTACAAGTGACTGGCATGTACACGACCGGTTCCTAGGATGACCGTGCGTTGAAGATTGTAAAGACATAGGGACTCACCAAGCTTACGAGTGATCTGAGCAAGAGGGGCCATGTTGTTGAAGGATGCGACGGGGGTCTCTCCTGCAGGGACTTACAATACACACGCATTTAGTACCCAATGGCTGAGAGCTATCCTCAGGATACCCCCCAAAATTTAATGGTACTGATCATCATCATCATCATCATCATCATCATCATCATCATCATCATCATTGATACACACAAGGAGAGCCGAGATCCTGCTTCATTCCTCATACACCTTAAGAAATCTTTAACGAATCTCTTTAGAAATACAAAACTGAAACTGCTTCAGAGATGACGTTAGTAGAACATTTCATTAACAGTTATGCACGACCATAAGGTAGCTCGACATCAGTGAAAATAAATACGGATGTTTTGTGTAAAATATAAAGACCAACTGTAACTTTTTTTTTTTAGAACTACACCGCGCGTCAAGAATATAATTTTAGACGAGGCGAAACAACTTTTTCAAAAGTGGAAAAGAAAGCAATTAGAATCTGGAACAGATCAACGAAACAACATTTATAATTCCAGCATACGATTGATGTTTTTCCTTGATTATTCTTTTATCGAACTAATCGATAGTTATAGACGTGCTTCGTTGTAATCTACGATTGATTAGAACAATCGAGAACTCGATGTAAACGTTTCGACTAAGTCTTATCAATATTTTCAAACAATGTATACAAGTTTTTTTTTTTCAATGAAAATGCTTTCCGCGTTTCACTTATTTTATTGCACAGCGTTCGAATTTTTTTATTGCTAGTTACATCGAGTACTTATTACGTAATTCTTCGCCACCCTCTCGTCTTTTTCACTAAACGACAATTTATTTTTTGAATTAATACAAATTTTAATTTTATGAAATATATCGGGACATGAAGTTAGTCTCTATTTGAAAAAGAAATAATAAAAAAAAAAAAAAAAAGAAACGGTACTTTCGTCTCTATTTGAAAAAGAAA